GAGGTCACGGCTGTCCGGCCGCCCCGCGCCGGCCCGGCCCCCGACCGCCCCTCTGCGGCCCCCCACTCGGCGCCGGCGCTCGCGGCCCGCGGCCTCCCTACCCCGAGCCGTAGACGCGTTGCCTTCTGCACTGTACGAACTTCCCGCCGCTTTCGCCGACTTGCAACTCCTCTGCGGCGCCGGCCCCGTCACACCCTGCAGTATGGAGCCTTCCCATTGGCTCGGGGCGAGCGGCAGAGGCGGGGCAGCCGCGGAGCAGGGCGGAGCCCGCGGTGGCCCGCACCGCCTCCCCAGGCATGCCGGGAGCTGTGGGCCGGCCCTTCCGCTGCATGCTGGGAAATGAAGTCTTTCCCAGGCACTGTGCGATCCGGGTCCTTCTGCCCTCCTGGGCTTCCGGGAAGGGTGGTTTCCTGCGTTCGAGTCGGTCCTGATCCGATGATGTGCTCTTCGGTGTTGTTGAAACCGAAATAAATATTGTTCGCACTGTTCGCAGTAACTTGTTTATTAAACAAGTGTGTTGACAAAGGGTTGGATGTAAAAGAAGCGCTGTAGTCCCGTTAGCTGTGGGTCTCCTCTGCCTCCTGGCACTTGCCTTCTGCCACCTTCTGAGCCACCACCCAGGAAGACTGGTCCCCTGGCAGCGTGGTTCAGTGTACTCTGGCCTGGGTCTGAGAGCAAACAGCCCGGAGTGCAAACCCTAGCTCTTTCACTTTGTAGATTTGTGACCTAAGGCAAGTTATAACCCCTGTGAGTCTTGCGAGCTGTTTGTCGGGATTAAATAAAATAATCCATAGACAGTGCTTTTCACACAGTAGGTGCTCAGTAAATAGTAGATAGTATTAATATTATTCTGCCCACTGATTGTCATACATCTAAATCCTATCTTTCAAAGCCTACTTCAATGTCTACCCAACCTCTGTAGCGTCTCCTCTATAATTCTCTTAGGCCATGGTTTCCTTTGTATTCACAGTAAATTGTCTAAGCCTCCATCACCCCTGGGGCTGTAAGCTTACTGCGACTGAAACAATGTTCTAGCTCAAAATCACCAAAGCCATAGGCAGACGGGTATTGGTGAGGAGGGTCGTTGGTGAAGATAGGTATTCCCCTGGATTCTTCTTGGCAAGGTCACCTCCAGTAAACTGGGTCCCTCAGCTGAAGGTCACTGCTCTCTGGCCCTCCCCTCCAACTTGCAAAGATAGCTCCTTCCCTTTGTGCCTCAGATCTGCAAATAATAACACCACGATGAACATTTGTCAGCAAAGAGGTCTCATGATTCACACGTCTCATGGGTGTGGAATTCGCCAGCAAGACAACGTGTCCAGAATCCATTGAGAAAAAGACACTCTGCACACACACAGGCACGCACACTCACATGTGCACAACGAGGACTTGGAACAGGATTTAACTGTCACATGGTGACTGTGTTTCCCCAACCTTACTATATGTGTATGGAAGAACTGTCCCTACTGGGTTGACAATCGGCTGGCCTTAAAGCACAATTAAGTCAGCAGCAGTGCATGGAGGATTCCAAGGTGAGAATGGAATATATTTATTCTTGAGCTCATGGTTACATCACCCTCAGTTGGGTGGCTTACTGTTAAATGCTACTTAAATGTAGCTGTGTTCCAAGGCAGTTGCCAAGCCTCCCACACCGTCCACACATGCTGAGATGTCCTACCAATGGAGAGCATGGCAGGAGACCAGTCCATGCTGCCGTCACAGAGACAGCATGTCTCTGTGAAATGTTGTAGATGGGAATACACCCCTGGGACATAGGAGACTCTCAACGAATTTGATGAGTTGATAGCTTGGTATTAAGATCAGGGGTGCCTGGGTGGCTCAGCCAATTAAACATCGGACTTGGGTTCAGGTGATGATCTCGTGGTTCGTGAGTTCAAGCCCCGCGTCAGGCTCTGTGCTGACAGCTTGGAGTCTGGAGCCTGCTTCAGTTTCTGTCTCCGTCTCTCTGCCCCTCCCCTGCTTGTGCTTTCTCTCTCTCTCTCTCTCTCTCTCTCTCAAGTATAAAATAAAACATAAAAATTAAAAAAAAAAAAGATCAGGGATGTGTAGAAAGTTGACCAGTGAGAAATTGCTATGGCCAGGTTTTAAAACTTAAGAACTGAAGCAGAGAGAGGGCACCTGGGTGGCTCAGTCTGTTGAGCATCCGACTTCAGCTCAGGTCATGTTTTCACAGTTCATGAGTTTGAGCCCTACATCGGGCTTGCTACTGTCCACCTGTCAGCACAGGTCCCACTCCAGATCTTCTATCCCCCTCTGTCTGCTCCTCCTCCCCCACTTATGCTCTCCCCAAAACATAAATAAATATTTTTAAAAAGATTTTAAAAAGAATTGAACTAGACAGGAAAGGTCCATGAATATAGCCCTGCCATATATGCAAAAACACCTACAGTTCAAACAAATGTTTACTGAGCACTTACTCTGAGTCAGGGAATAAATAAGCTAACCTCTGGGAACTCTGGGGATTCTGGTTTAATTAATGCTTAAGGAGCCTCTATCACATATTAGGCACTGTGCTTTTTCACGTACATTATTTCAATTCTTAAGGAGGAAAAAAATATCTCAAAGAGTTTAACTTATTCCAGGCCCCCTGAATCTACTAAGTACTGTTTTAACTGCCCCTTTATGCATAGGCCCAGAACATTAGGAAACTTCTAATAAAGAAATATTTTCAGTTCAGGAGTAGAGTACAAGAGGCTATCATAGTCAGCTAATGGGATTCCTGGCTAGAAGAACATCACAGATAAAGCAGGGTGACCCATGAGCGGGTTCAGCTCAATGAATAAAAATTTTCCAACTTTCTAGCAAGGGCAGACCAGCCAAAAAATCTATGCATTGGATCAGTATTGATTTGCCAGATAGTCAGGCCCCAGATTGCCCTTTTTTACTTCCAGGAGCCCCCCCCCCCCCAGCTCTGGTAACCCTAGCACAAAGGCACAGTAACAATAGAATAGGGCACTTGGAGGAATACAGAGAATGTTGGTATTGGCTACACCATGGTGGAAAAGGTCTGTGAAGTTCAAACAAATATAATAATCACCAAGAGGCAACATTGCCCTGGCAGGCTGCCCAGCACTCGCTGGTTCTGCTCATCAGTCAGTTCATGAGTCCTAGTCCTTGTTGTTTTCATCCACAGAATGGGAATAATCACCCTGGACCAACCAGTTCTCTGCCTTCTTAGGCTGTTGGGAAGGAGACAAGGTAATGTCTAAGAGGGCTTTGATCTAGCTAGAACAAAGCTGCTAGGGTGTCATTACTCAATGTAGGCAACCTAACAACAATCCAAGGAAATATTACCTCCTGGGAGGAAGAAAGAGGGAGAGTAGGGAAGAGTAGAATGTGTACAACAGTCTTCTGACTACCTTGCCCCTGGTTTTGATGCCTTATTTCATCCCAGGTGCCCAGAGCCATTGTTTCCATTTTAGCAAGGACTTTTGAGCATCTACCATGTGCCAGGCAGTGTCCTTACTAAATTTATAATCTAGTGGGGAACCCAGACATGTCTACAAATTCTAGTAGCTATGATCTTTATGAGCACTTACTATGTGCTGGGAAAATTACCCCCACTAACCCTGAGAGGTAAATAATATGATCCCCAGTGTCCAGGTGAGGAGACAAAGCCCCAGAGAAATGAAGTGATTTGTTCAAGGTCACTGCTGGTGACTAATAGAACTCTTTGATTCCATACTCAGCCTGCTATCAATTACAGCAGCTCATAGTGGACGATGTAACAATGTAAGGGCTGACTGATGGCACAGGGGTACTCTGTGCAGTGAGAATACAGAAAGAAGAGCAAGTTGCTCTGCCAGGCTTCATAGACAAGGGGACAGACATTGATCTAGTTACTCTACTGAACTAATCTGGTGAGTCCCAAAATACTAGAGACAGGTCCTTTTAGATGTAATGACAGAGTGATTGATGATTATAGATTATTCTGAGGTCAGAAGTGGATGGAATTTTAAAGGCCTAGGAAAATGTCTCCTCCTTCCTCTTTTCTTCATCTTGAAAATGATGACATTGATGATAATGATGATGAAGATGAAGATGATGGTGATGATGATGAAGATGATGGTGATGATGATGATAGTGATGGTGATGAAGATGAAGATGATGGTGATGATGAAGATGATGAAGATGATGGTGATGATGATGGTGAAGATGATGATGGTGATGCTGATTATGATGAAGATGATGATGGTGATGATGATGGTGATGATGATGATGAAGATGATGAAGAAGATGGTGAGGATGATGATGAAGATGATGAAGATGATGGTGATGATGATGAAGATGATGGTGATGATGATGAAGATGATGATGGTGGTGGTGATGATGATGATGAAGATGATGATGATAGTGATGATGATGAAGATGTTGAAGAAGATGGTGATGATGATGAAGAAGAAGATGATGGTGGTGATAATGATGAAGGTGATGATGATGATGATGATGATGGTGGTGGTGATAATGATGAAGATGATGAAGAAGATGATGATGGTGATGATGATGAAGAAGATGCTGGTGGTGGTGATAATGATGAAGATGATGATGATGAAGATGATGGTGATGCCAATGGTGGTGGTGGTGATGATGGAGGTGGTGGCAACAACTTCCCTTCATTGTTTTAAGCATTTTCCAGGAATTGTGCTAATCCTTTACAAACAAAACTTCAAGAAATCTTCACAATCTTTTAGGTTAGTATTATACACCCTTTCCCCCACTGCAGAGACAAGGAAACTAAAGCTCACAGAAGGCAAGGAACTGGCTCAAAGTCACACAGCTAGTAAGTGATGCAGCTGGACTGTAAGCCAAGGTTTCAACCAACTCAGAAGATGGAATGTTTAACCACTCCCCATGCAGTGCACCAACTGTTCATCATTTCATGTGTTTCTATCCCCTGAGCTGGTTTTCAAGATGCCATTGCTGTTTGTCTTCCCCGAGTTTTGAGAGATTAATGGTACAATAAAATTTAATGTGTGCACCTCCAAGAATGACTGCATTGTTTTGCAGCGTGCTGGTGAAATGCTCTCAGCCGGAGATGCTGGTGGATAGGTTGCTCTCTGCCTACTTGAGATGAGTGGCAGATATTATCTACTGACACTCAGCTCA